TAATTGCTTCTTCACTTTAAGCCATTCAGCTTATAAAACGTTTCACAGGAAAAGTCCACTCTTGGACAGCAGGTGAAACCTGTATTAAAAAATAAGAGAAAGGGGAAGTGTGGCCAAGATGGTGGAGTAGGAAGCCCCTGAACTCACCTCCTCCCACGGGCACATCAAAATTACAACTATTTACAGAGCAACTATCAATGAGAATGACCTGAAGACTAGCAGGAAACATTTTCCACAATTGAAGATACAAAGAAGAAACCACAATGAGAGCAGTAGGAGTGGCAGACACACAGTATAGCCAAGACACAAGACACCCCTGGGTAGGTGTTTATCCTACAAATGGGAGGATAAACACAATCACAGAGATTCTCCCCAAGGAGCAAGGGATCTGAGCCCCATATTGGGCTCCCCAGCCTGGGGTTCTGCATCAGGAAGATGAGCCTCCAGAATGTCTGACTTTGAAGGCCAGTGGGGCTTACAAACAGAAGAGCCTGAGAGTTATAGGAAACAAAGACTCTGCTCTTAAAACTGATGGCAGCTATTTTGGGGAGCTCATTCTACTACGAGGACACTGGTGCCAAGTGCCATTTTGGAGTCCTCCCTCTAGTCTATTAGTGCCAGGGGCTTAACCATCCTCCAGTAAGCAGGCACTAGTCCTAGGAGGACAACACAGGCTGAGTAGCCATCTATATAGAGATCTGGCTCCACCTACCAGTTGGCCAGTACCAGCCCCAGGACCCTCCCAGGCCATGCAACCAGCTGCACTAGGACCCAGTTTCACCTACCAGTAGGCTGGCAGCCACCACAAGAAGCAAGGCATGGAAGCTAACCAGGCCAGGGACTAGACCCACCTATGAGCATGCCCATAACAGTCAACTCTATCACAACAGAAGGGCTCATGTAGTCCACGTATAGTGCACCACTAGAGCATATAGCTCTGCTGGCCAGAAGGGAGTTCACTGCTGTGCCCCATCTCCTACACTTATCCAAGATTGGGAAACATAACTGACCTACAAATTACATAGAAATAAACAGAGAATTAGGCAAAATGATGAGACAGAGGAATATGTTTTAAACAAAGGAATAAAACAAAACCCCAGAAGAACTAAGTGAAGTGAAGATAAGCAATCTACTTGATAAAGCATTCAAGGTAATGATCATACATATACTTACTGAACTTGGGAGAAGAATAGATGAACACAGTAAGAATTTCAACAAAGAGGTGGAAAATATAAAGAAGGATCAGACAGAGCTGAAGAATATGATGACTGAAATAAGAAATACACTAGAAGGAATCAACAGTAGATTAGATGATACAGAGAAATGGATCAGTGAACTGGAAGACACAGTAGTGGAAATTACCCAAGCTGAACAGAAAAAAAGAAAAAAAAAGAATTTTTTAAAATGAGGATAGTTTAAGAAACCTCTGGAACAACATCAAGCTAACATTTGCATTAGAGGAATTCCAGGAAAAGAGAGAGAGAAAGGGGCAGAAAACTTATTCGAAGACGTAATAGCTGAAATCTTCCCTAATGCAGGGAAGGAAACAAACATTTCCTTTAAGACCAGGAATAAGACAAGAATGCCCACTCTCACCACTTTTATTCAGCATAGTACTGGAAGTTCTAGCCACAGCAATCAGACAAGAAAAAGAAATAAAAGGCATCCAAACTGTAAAGGAAGAAGTAAAACTTTCACTGTTTGCAGATGACATGGAATTATGCATAGAAAATCTTAAAGATGCCACAGAAAAACTATTAGAACTAAGAAATAAAGTCAGTAAGGCTTCGGGATACAAAATTAATATTCAGAAATCTGTAGGATTTCTAAACACTAACAACAAACTATCAGACAGAGAAATTATGAAAACATTTACAATTACATAAAAAAGAATTTTAAAACCTAGGAGATAAAAGAGGAGTACTCAGAAAACTATAAAACATTGATAAAAGAAACTGAAGACAACACAAAGGGAAATATATATCATGCTAATGGATTGGAAGAATTTAATATTGTTAAAATTACCATACTACCCAAATAATCTACAAATTCAAATGCAATCACTATCAAAATATCAATAGCATTTTTCAAACAACTAGAACAAGTAATTCTAAAATTTGTATAGAAATACAAAAGACCCAAAATAGCCAAAGCAATCTTGATTAAAAAGAATAAAGCTTGGGGTACCACATTTCCTGATTTCAAATTATACTATAAAACTACAGTAATCAAAACAGTATAGTACTGACACAAAACCAGAAACATAGGTCAATGGAACAGAATAGAGAGCCCAGAAATAAACCCACATTTATAAGGACAATTAATCTATGACAAAGGAGGCAAAAATATACAATGGGGAAAAGATAGTCTTCTCAATAAATGATGTTGGGAAGACTAGACAACTACATATAAAAGAATCAAACTGTACAACTTTCTCACACCATATACAAAAATAAACTCAAAATGGATTAAGACTTAAGTGTAAGACCTGAAACTATAAAACTCCTAGGAAAAAACATAAACAGTGTGTTCTTTCAATCAATCTTAGCAATATTTTCTTGGATATGTCTCCTTAGGCAAGGGAGAAAAAAGCAAAAATAAACAAATGGTACTACATGAAATTAAAAAGCTTTTTCACAGTGAAGGAAAATATCAACAAAACAAAAAGGCAGTCTACTGAATGGGAGAAGACATTCGCCAATGATATAACCAATAAGGGGTTAAAGTCTAAAATATGCAAAGAATTCATACAAATCAACTTTGAAAAAAACAAAAACTCAAAAAATGGGCAGAGGACCTGAAAAAACATTTTTCCAAAGACATACACATGGTCAACAAACACATGAAAAAATACTCACATCTCTAATCACCAGGGAAATGCAAGTTAAAATCAAAATGAGCTCTCACCTCACACCTGTCAGAATGGCCATTATTTTAAAACAAATAATAACAACAAGTATTGGTGAGGATGTAGAGAAAAGGGAACCCTCATGCCTGTTGGCGGGAATATAAACTGGTGCAGCCACTATCAGTAAGGAGATTCCTCAAAAAATTAAAAATAGAACTACTATAATCCATCAATTTCACTTCTGGATATTTTTCCATAGAAAAAACACTAATTCAAAAAGATATATGCCCTGCTATGTTTACTGCAGCAATTATTTACAATAACCAAGATATGGAAGCAACCTAAATGTCCACCAAAGGATGACTGGATAAAGAAATTTTGATACATATATACACACAATGAAATACTACACAGCCATAAGATGAATAAAATCTTGCCATTGTGACAGCGTGGATGGACCTTGAGGGTATTATGCTAAGTAAAGTAAGTCAGACAGAAAAATACAAATATTATATGATATCACTTATATGTGGAATCTAAAAAATAGTAAAAATGAAGTTATTTACAAAACAGAAACAGACTCACAGACATAGAAAAAAAACTTATGGTTACCAAAGGGGAAGGGAGGAGGGATAAATTTGGAGTTCAAGATTTGCAGATACTAACTGCCATATATAAAATAGATTAAAAAACAAGGTCCAACTATATAGCACAAGGAACTATATTCAATATCTTGTAATAACCTATAATGAAAAATAATCAAAAAAGAATATATATAATATATATTTGAATCACTTTGCTGTACACCTGAAGCTAACACAATATTGTAAATCAACTATACTTAACCAAAAAAATTTTAAAAACTTTTAGCCATCCAAAAATAAAAAGAAACCTCTATAATTTGATTAAAAACTATCCACAGAAACAAACAAACATCATAGTTAAAGTTGAAATATTCAGAGCTTCCAACTGAGATAAATAACAAGAAGAGGACAGTCAAACCCAAATTT